TATTTTCAGAATTCTGGATTAAGAGATCATCATACTGCATCATTTACGTAATTTTATTATGACTGGTCAATTGCTTTATTAACAATCTTATTAAAAATCAATATTACAATTGATAAATAATATATCTTTATATTAAGTATTAAATATATTTTTGTTATAGATAGAATTAGTTATAACAAATATAAAAATAAATTAAATTAATTAACAAAAATAATTTTAATATGATAAAAATTATATATTAATTATTTAAAATATATGCTAATTAATTATTATTATATTTAATATATTAACTTTAAATAAATAAACAGATTTTCAAAGTAATAGTATTTGAATTTTTTTCTTTCAACTTTTTCAAGAATAAAGTACTATAATATACAAAATTTATTTAATGTTATTTTGATATAGTTAAATAAGTTAGTGCTAATAAATATATAGTATTAATATACAATCCTTATGAATTATAATAGTTAGATAGAATTTTAAAATTTAATTCTTTTTAAATTTATATATTAAAATATATGATTATTTTAAATAAAGTTCATATTAAGATTTTATATACAATTATTTATTATTAGAAATAAATTATATAAAATTAATAGTTTAATGATAAAAGCAAATTATTAATAAAATATAAAAAAAATTAAAAGAAAAAAAATAATAAAAACAAAAATAAAAAAATAAAAAAATTAATAATTAATTAAGTATTATTTATAGCCTAAATGTATTAAATATAAAATTACTAAAAGAAATCTACATTTTTATAAAATTAATTGAGTTTTATATATATTTTTTAAATTATATAAAATAATATATTAACTATTTTAATTACTATTATTAATATGTAATCCTGTTGAATTATAACTGTTAGACCGAGTGTTCGAGTGGTGATTCTTTTAAGTTTATGTAGTAATCTAATAGTTATCTCTATAAGTTAATGGTTTTTTTATATACTGTTTAGAGTATATTTACACCCCAGTTGATTAAGTTTTGTTATATATTAAAAAATATATTCAAACTTACGATAAATGTATGATTCATTCACTATATACTACTAAGTATATTCAATATACTATCGAATATATTTCCATAAAATAAATGTAAATTACATTACTAATATAAAATGTCACAGAATGTTTCAGGTAAATTGAATAAAGATTTATTGGTAAATAAATAAACTAAAAGCTAAAAATACTAAAATAAGAAAATACAAAAGAATCATATATGTTAGGTATGTCTGATATATCAAATATATCAAATATGTCAAATATATAAGATATGACAAATATATTAAATATGTCAAATATGTTTGACATATTTGACATTTTGATCTGCACTTTCTTGTATTACATAAATTAAATATATTTATTAAGTCGATCATATTAACTGTGTTATTTATGTAATTATTTACAATGCATTATGTAGATCAATGACATTATGATAGTCCTGTTATACTATAAATCAACTATTTCAAATATATTAAATGTGTTGATTATGTTAATTATGTTAAATATTTATGCTATATTATAAAGATCAATAATATTACTTTAATTATAATAGAATTATATTAGATAATACTATAAATATAGTAGCTACTAATACTAATTAAAATAATTTAAATAAGCTAGAAATAAAATAAACATTGCAATTCCTGCTATTTTAACTTTAGGTAAAAGACTTTTTATTAAAACTGGTAATGTAATAATAATAAAAAGAATATAGTAATATCAAATTTATTGAATTTGGTTTTTTGTAAAAATAATTGTTATTTAGTTAAAAAAATTTTTTTATTAAGTAAATATAATTAGTAATTTAAAATAAATTTGATAATATACTGTATATGAATATTTTTTTGCATGATTAATATTTTAATAATAATAATAAAAGAAAGCATTTATTTATTATATAATGTTATTATTCAAATATATTTATATAGATAAATTTAAATTATAAACAATTCAAATATAAATTTGCTTAATTTTTCATTGATAATAATTTATATTTATAATAAAATTTACAGATTATTTGATCACAAATAAAAAAATATTTAGGTAAAATCACTAAATAAATTTGTAACATGTTGTCAATATTAAAAATTAGCTTTAAATAAATAATTTGTAAGTTATTAGATTTAATAACATATTAAGGAAGATCTTATATTACATCATCAAAATTTTTTATTATTTTATGATAATAAATAATTTTTCATTTTTTAAATGTTTTTATTATTTTTATTATTTGTCTAATATTTTATATCTATATTTTATTTTATTTATTATTATATTATAGTTAAAGTTTATAAATATAATTAGTTTATAGCATAACAAAATAGTTAATGATAACAAATTAATTTTGTATAATAGAATAAAGTTGTAAATTAATACTTTTATAAGTTTTAATAACTTTATTACAAGTTTTAAGTTATAAATAAAGAAACCAATTTAAAACTATAAATTACTTTTTTTTCAACATTGTCACTTATCTAAGATTTGTTATGATATTCTACACTAATTTATTTTTGAGTTTGTTATTTGAGTTCAACTAAATAAATTTTAAATTTTAAGACATATAAATCATAGAATTAATAGATATCTGTAAGACAGAAAATATCCTAAGTTTGTAAATTCCAATGAGTAGAATTAATTATTACAATACCTTTAATTTAGATATTAAGATAACTGAAAATGAACTGATAACAATAATGGATTATCTGCAAATTAGATTTTATGATTCAAGTATTTTTAAGCCAAAGATAAAATAGGATTGTATATTTTAAAATGAAATTAAAATTTTAATAAAGAAACAATACCTTATTATCACAATAAATTTGATAAGATTTTATATAGATATATATAAAAAGATTTAAAATATGAGCTTCAAAAGAATTAAATTTGCCTTTTGGATTAATATTAAATAATATTGCAGGTAGGATCATGAATATATTTACTAAAATTGGTTAATAATTCATCATACATGTATACAAGTAAGAATAGTACTTAAGAAATGAAAACCGCGTAAAGGCCGACTTTTTTAAATCAAAATACTTCTTTTGTATTTTCCCTATTCTTATTTATATATTCCCTTTTCATGACCAGTTTGATGTTGCATACTCCTCATAAGAGTAGTAATGAATTTGCTTCTAGACATATTATCTACAAATATTATTATTTTTATGGCTACATTGTGAAATTTAAGTAAATAGCATTTTCGGGATAATATTTGATTCAAAAAAAAAAAATAAACTTTTTATCGCTATAAAGAATTTATTTGATTATGGAGAACCATGCATTAAGCAAGATGCCCAAATATAATTCGCTGGAGGTGATGGGTTTACAAATGTTGGTGGTATGCAAGAAGATCCAACAGATCCTGTTTCATCAATATAGGCATCCCATTGCCTCCTGCAAAATTTTATATATGTTAAGAATGGGAAGATTTTATATTACAAAAAAATATAACTATTTATCATACCTAATTGAAACCAAATTGTCTAAATCAAATTCAGCTTGGTGCCAATATTCATAAACAGGATCTCTCTCTCTCTCTCGTTCTTTCATTCCTGCATCCATGGCTTCATTTCTTTTATGTTCGGCAGCAGCATCTCTTTCCTGATTAAGACGAGCTTCTTCAACTTTCATTGCATCATTTAATGACGCAATCCTATTAAAAAATTCATCATCTTCCTCGGGAAAGAAGTGACCTACATATATACATTTAATTATAGAGTTAATAAATTCTAACGAAAATTATTTCAGACAAAAGGCAAATCGATTGATGACAACCTTCGCGTTTTAATCGTTCTCTACGAAGATCTCGAAGTTTTTTCACCTTTTCCAAAAGTTTTGTTAATTCTTTATGCTTATTCTTTTTTTCTTCAGCTTCTTCAACTCTCTTTTTTGCTGCTTCTTTTCTTGCAAGTTCCTATAATAAATACAACATATGAAATAAAGCTTATGACATTAACTAATGTTAACTTTTAATACTTACCCGTTTCAGAGCTAACTCTTTAGCTATCCATTCGGTTCGCCATTCGTCAATAGTTTTATGTAATGTTTCTCGCCTACGTTGCCTTTCATCTCGAACAGATTGTAATTTCTTGATATGTTTCACGCGCCATCGCTTTATAATGAATTATAATTAAAAAATTATGAAATTTAAGAAAAATTAATCCTTTTGTGCACACACCTTATGACGCCTAATTTTAGATATTTTCAATTTAACTTTTTCAATAAATTGTTGATCTATAGAAGACAAATTCGATTCTAATGTTTTCTAATAAAAAAAAGCCAGTTACATTGTATAAAATAAAGTAAATGATAATTAATGTAAAAAATGCATTATACGTAAAATTATAACCTTGACATTTTCAAGACTTTCTATTTTAACTTTCCATTCATCTTCATTCACAGAATCTCGAATTTCTTTTAAATAATTCAATTTGGATCTCAAATCTTGTAACAAATTATGAGTTTGCAGAATTCGTTCACGCGTATTTGTTATATTAGGAACAGAAGCTTCAAGCTTTATGTTACGCGTTTTGATCCATGACTTGAACCAAACTTGTTCAGAATTGGTTTTCTCTACAGACATAAGATAAAATATTTTTAATGGTAGGAAATTTTTTGATTGGCAATAAAAATTTTAAAAATTAAACAATTTTAGTATTTTATTTATAAATTTATATTTATACACTTTTTTTTTTGGGAAGAAAAAGTTTTTATTGAATAATGATGGAATAATACAAAATGAATTGGTCAACCAATACATTTAGCATCCTAACAAAGAAATATACAAAGGAATATAAAAAATGATAAATGACAGAATATAAAATAATAATATTGCAGAATAAAAAAGGTCATCAGATGAATAAAGAAATAAAGTTCTTTTGGTTTCTAATATCAAAAATATCAAATAAATCAAATACACTACACTAAAAAAAAAAAAAAAATTGTATAATAAAGAATATTGTTCAATCAAATGATTTTAACATAATAATAAAAAAATTATTGGAATCCAAATCCCGTTGTTCCTTCAGAGATTGCCAATAATAATTGTGCTCTTAACTGCTCATAATTGTCATATTCAGGTATATCTATTTGATTGAAACTATTAAAAGATAAAAATGTATAATTAATATAAATGATTCAAGGCATAATAAAATATCCACATGATTATTAACGAACTTACCAAGTATGAGCAGATGGTAAACGATCTGGACTGGCAAAATCTTTATGAATTTGGAACTTTTGAACACCATGGACACCTTGAAGGGCAGAGAAACCTTCCAATGGTACCTTTGAAGTTCCCGTAACGAATTGTAAAAGTTTCGCTCTCTCTTCTTGATCAAAACTTCGTACGGCTCTCCAAAACCATTGTATTTGTGGAGATGAAGGTGTATAATTTTGATATTCTGTATTATTTTTCCAATCATCAATATCAATATCTGGCATGCCCGAAATCAACAATTCTAACTCTTGTTCATTGAATATGCTAATTAAATGTGCTGGAATAATTTCATGGAAACCAGCAAGGAAGTTCTCAATTTGATCCTTGATAGCTAATGTAAGTTTCTGTTCCGTTACAAGCATAACGTATTCTCGTTTATTCTCTTCTGTAACTGAGATATTTCTACCATCTTGTTTCAAATCAATAATCTTCTTTTGACCAAAATCATCGGTTTCGACGCTAAACGTCAGATCAACTACTCCAGTAATATCATTATTCAACATCCAGACTAAACTGTTATAATACTCTAAATCTATGGCTTCAACATCACGATAATCAACAGCTTTTCCAAGAATATGTTTGTAGAAAGAACGTGTAAAATATGCATCTAATAGCCTTCCATCATAAATAGCTTTGCCAATGACACGTCCAACAAATTTAAAGAATAATAAATGTTCTGGGTTTGCACCTGAAGCTCTATTTGGTTGATAAGTAAGTCTATCTGCGGCTGATGTTTTGAATAATGCATAGTTTTCGTTAAACATTTGCCTTGCAAGAACTTGGAACCACTCTCTCGTTACACCACCAGCATCAACACCTTCTTCTTCATAGAACCGTACGCTAAGTTTGCCATACTTGATTTCATCTCCAGTTCTTCTTTGTAAGTTTTGGAAAGAATCCTCAAATACATATTGACGTCTAACATTAAGTTGTAAAGAACCATAATGTTCCCGTGCATTAGTTCGTTTATGAAGTTGTTGGTTGAAATAATTCCTCTTGTTGTCAAATTCAAGGATCTTTGGATTATGAACCAATAAAGAGAATGATCCACTCATTAATGATGGATTGTTCCTAACCATTGTATTAAGAATCTTACGATGATCTTCCGTAAATGTAAAGAATAGATCTTCCATGCTTTCAGGAGGATAATTATACGGTCCTGGTGAGGATATTCTCTGGTTTGTTGATGCTGTCATACCAACGTATTTGCACACAACCATCAAAGACTCTATAAGTGGTAAAAGAACAGTTGCCACATGAATCATATCTGGTTTTTCATGTATGGTGGTCAAACATTTTCCTAATCTCTTCCATAATTCAGTGAAGTTGAGAGTCTCATATATTTTCATAACTTTGGCTTCATCATCAGTCAATTTAGCATTTCGAGTGCTACTATCTAGTAATGTCCGTGGTGCGACTGATTCTATTTCATCAGGATCGATGGTAGGAGCCAACGAAACTACTTGTGCACTTGATGAAGTTGTATTTGATTGTTGTTTACGAGAATACATATAATCAATAGTCTTGAGAACACGTAATAATTTGGCTTGTTTGGAAGATGAAGGTGAAAATTTGGATAGAGTGACTCCTTGCACATCCACGCCAGTATTCGCATTATCTAAAATCTTTGCCAATTCATCAAGATCGTCCAATATATCGTTTCCAAGTAACTGAGCACGTTCGACTAATTCTGACGTTATTACATCACGGGCTCCACTTAATGTAGAAAGATGTTGAATAACTGAAAGCGTATATTTGAAAGTATTACTTGTACATTCACCAGCAGTCAAGACATTCACTACTAAGCGTAAACAATAGTCGGGTATAACAGGTGGCTTGAGTGCAGGAGGTTTTTCTGATCCTGATTGCTTTGATGAAGAAGCTGTCGCATTATCTTGAGTCGTTTCATTTCCGGGTGTATTAATATTGTCATTATTGTCATTATTGTCATTTGTCTCTATAATAACGTTGCTACTTTGATCATTAGGAGCATTCGAAGATTGATTGACATTATTGGAGTTTTGTTCAATATCGGACTGTTGTTGTTGTAGTTGAATAGACTGTCCAATTAAATTATTATTTTGATTATTTTCAGTTTCGGGATTTTGATTGGAATTACTTTCATTATTGTTGTTGCCTTGTGTTGAAGAACCGTCTTCATTTGCTTTATCAGGTGACGCCGATGATTCCGATTTTGATAAAGATGATAAAGGTCGTAAAACGAATGATAATAAGTGCATTAATTGATCCATTAATGTTGTATTTTTGATAAAGACTTGTCGATCTAAAAGACTAAGTAGTATCACAACAGGATATTTGCTTACAACGGATTTTGCTTGTTTTTCTTTGCCCTTACGACTATTTGATCTTTTAAGTCCAATGTTATTTTCATGTTCCATTAAGAAATACGTAACTGATGCCTCATTATAGGTTACAATATATGTCAAAGCTTCTAAACATCTCTGAGCGATCAAATTAGGAACATTTTCTCCAGCTGCTTGAGTTATTTGAGCAAGGGAAGGATTTGGTGCACTTGACTGCCTTCTTGGTGTACCTTTAGAAGTGCTTTTTGTACGTAAAGACATTTGGGCAAAGCTCTTATCAACAGCAGCTACATCCCCACTTCCATCATAAAGGACTGAAAGTAACATCGAAATCAACTCGCCACGAGTTTTACTATTTTCACAAAGATTAAGCAATAGTTTATGAAGTAAGTTCTTATTACCCAAAGGTTGCGGTAAGAATAATAATCTAATCAATGTGGCTAATCCTGAAGTATCAACTAGTTTCATTGCATCACGTTGAATAGTAGGTTTCTTAGGAGTTGGTACGGCTGGGGTAGTACTAGCAATGGTTCTTGAACGTACTGCATTTGTATATCTCCTACTTGCTCTTTCTCGCAAAGCATTTGCCTCTGCAACAATTGCTGGAGGTAATGAAGCCAAAACCATCTCATCTTGCTCAAGTAGGACAGTTCGTCTTAATTGAGGATCCAATGAAGCAAAGAAACTTGCAGTATCCATGTCAGCGGCAACAGGTTCAACATTTCGTTGACGTTCTCTTCTTTCTTGTTCAAGAGCTGCTGCTTCTTGTTGAAGAATTTCTTCTCGTAAATCATCAGGTAAGGCTTCCAAAAATTCATTACTAATAGCATCTCCTGCACCGCTTACTGGAGGTCTGTTTCTTCTCTCCGGAGGTAAATGTTGGTTTATAACTTCTTCACGTAATTCGTCAGGAAGCGCTTCAAGGAAAGTTGGGTCAATTCCAGTATCTGTAATATCTATAGTTTGACCGTTGACCACTACAGTCGTCCTTGCAACTTGAGTTTCATTTGAACCTTCAGTCGTTCCTTCAACCGCTGCTTGAGAGGTTTGTGTAATAGTAGTAGTACCTTCTATGGTAGTCGGTTCCTCCTCCATGGCTGGATTATTATCAGAAGTTGCAAGTGAAATTTCAGGCGCCGGAGATGGTTCAGCATCCATAGCATCAGGATCTTCTTCAGTTCTGGTTTCAGGGGCATCTTCTAACATGGCATCTCCAAGTTCAATAATTTCAGTTGTTTCAGTTACTTCAATAACTTCTTCAGGTTCTGTGGTACCTTCAGCCATTGATTGATCAACTGTTACATTTTGTGAACCTTCAACTCGAGAAGCGGCTTCAGCTTCTAAACCTTCAACCCTAGCTTTTGTTGTGACTTCTAATTCTTGTCTTTCTTCTTCTGCTTTTCTTCGATTTTCTTCTTCACGGACTCTTCTTTCTTCGCGTTCTCTCTCTTCTTTCTCTTTTTTCTTTTTATCTTCTTCCAATGCAAGGGGAATTAATCCGTTTAATATATGATTAACTAGTTTTGTAGCCTTTTCAGATACAGAATTACCGTACATCATTCGAGCTTCGTCATACCATCTTTGTCCAGTCGACACTGGCATAAATTCTTGAACTGCTGTAATTGGATCACTCGGAGAGGTAACATTTTGATTATCTTGAGCGTTTGTTATTGATCTAGGAATTATTCGGTCAACTTCGATACCACTAATTAAACTTCCCGAACCTGTATTTAATTCAAGTCTGTAAGTGGAATGTCCTAAACCACGACTTCTAGTTAACAATTGTTCTATTAATTGAGCAGCACCACCACCTATCAGTTCTTCAATGGACTGTGTCCAGTCACTTAATGGTCCATTTCGGACATTTCTGCCTCTTACAAATTCTACTCCACTCGTTCCAGAGATATTAGGAAGGTTCGATGTTCTGTTAACAAGTAAAGGATGTGTAGTAACATCATCGCTAGCGCCGGGCATTGGTCTATTTCTGCCGATACCGGGAATATCAACTTCATCATTTGTGCCAAAATTAAATCCATAACCAACAGAATCACCTATTACATAGTCGAGACCTTCCGGTGGAACTTCTAAAATAGCACGACGACCACCGGGAATATGTCGATGACGTCTATTACCAAAGCTAAATAAGGCGCGACTTGGACGGCCCGGAATAAAATCGTCATCATTCATAAAGAGTGAACCGGGTTGATTCCATCCCCAATTAAAATTGAGACGATCCACATATCCATCGTGAATTTCACCACTATCTAATACCACATCATTTTCTTCAACGTCATCGGCTTCATCATCGTCATCGTCATCGTCATCGTCTTCTTCATCGTCTTCTTCATCGTCCACTAACATTATCTCTCTCTCATTCCCTTCATCACCACCAAATCCTCCATGTCTACGATGTCGATGATGGTGTCCTTCAGCATCATCAATGGCTTCTTCGACAATATCACCCCGGTCTATAATAACTTGATCGTGAACATCCCACATTTCTTGATCAGCTCCATCTTGACGAATACGAACAGGGTGATCATCGTCTGAATCATCATCATGTTCTAAATGTTGAGCTAGATTGTTATCTTCATTTTCGGAGTCATTATTATCGTTTTGATTATCTAACATTGTTGAATGACCATGCAATGGTTGCCGAACGACTATTTCTACGTCCATATCGTCTCCATCACCGCCACCACTTCCGTTTAAGTCATTATCATCACTAACGTCACTAACATCACTACCGGTCTCTTCGTCATATTCGTCATCGTTATATACTTGTTCATCCGAAGTGCTAATCTCTTCATCCTCCATTTCATCACTTTCCATTCTACCTTCAAGAGCACCGAGTACAGAAGTTGCATACAAATCAGGTGCATCTTGTGTGATTTCATCAGCTGAAGGAGTCGAGATGGAAGAAATACTTTTACGACGTTCTTGTTCTTCTTTAGAAGGTTCAGGCGCACGACCCAACTTTATGGCTATTTTTGTTAAAAATTCGAATGGTTTCAATAAAGCACTTATCAAAATCCTTGCTGATGGATAATTTAAATCTACTTCTGAAAGAGCTTCAGTTAAAGTGTTCACAAAATTTTTATCAAGCATTAACTTAGCAACACTAGCAGGTCCATCATCAATAGGTCTGTTTGCATTATTACTTGGATTTGTACGTGCGGTTAGGATTGCATAACATAATTCAGCCAAAGCCAAAAGCCTTCCATATTTTGTTTCAATAGGATCAGATGATGAAATGGCATACTTAAATGAACGAATTATACCATCCAAAACAAATTTACGAACTTGTACCAATTCATGTTGAACTTTCTTTTCATCAACATCATTACTGATATTTGAACATAAAGCAACTATGACAGAAGTCGTCCATTTAGATTGTCCATAACGCTTACGCATTTCGATATCGGTCGAGGATGTAATACATCCATATGGTAATAAATCGTTTAAAAGATAACTCAATAAAGGAGTTTTTGTTTTAAACGGAGTACCGGGACCAACGCTGTTCCTTCTACGGGAGAGATTTATGACTTCAGTTTTACATGATGGATATGAAGAGAGTAATTCTGTCAAGCATTGAAGCAAGAAACAACGACATAAATAATCCAAATGTTCTTCAGGTTTAAAGGGTGGTTGAGTAGGTCCCATAATATTAATAGCATTGTTAGTATTGTTAGTAATGATGGCATCGTTATTATTTGTAATAACGGAATTAACAAACTCGGTATTCTTTTGTTGTTCATGTGTAGTATCAGTTGGCTTTGATTCTTGAAGTACAGTAGTTTGAATATTACGTATAGAAATCAATTCATTTGCTATGAAATGAATTAAATTTTCTGCAACTTCGGATCCAAAAGATAATTTTTTAGGCGATTCAAATGTTGATGTTGAAGGTACTGCATCCGTCATTTCTTCTTCATTAACGGTATTATCCTTATTCGTTGTATTACTAGTATCCTCAGGTTCTTGTTTAATCAAGGTTATTTGATGCTGACTACTTCTACCAGGTTCATACCTTGTTAATTTACAAAGTTTCTTTGTGGATTGAACAAATAGTTCAGGATTTCGCAATGCAAACTGCGCAGTATTTCGAAGGTAACCATTGATATCAATCACCCGAGGTCGATGATTTGTAAACCAGTTTTTGATTTCTCTTTCCATAATTGATTCTAACACAAAAACATCCTCTATTACATGTCGCAATATCATAACAATGAATATTTGTTGTCCACGAAAATCATGAGCTCGTGGTTTGAAAGCATTAAAAAGTAATGATAATCCGTCCTTATTAACAAATTCGGTTGCATCAAGATGACGTCGAGTTAATCGCACCAAGATTCGAAGTAATGAATTAACAATATCTTTGTCAAGATCTTTACGTTTCATGAATGATAAACAGTATTCAAGTAAATTTGAACGATGTTTATCTGTTGGTGAAGAATTATTTTCCGTGGCAATCGCTTCTGATTCTTCAAGTTTAGATTGTAACAGATTTAATTCTACACTTGTTGGTTCATCTGATAAAGATATAAAAGATTCTATAACTAACAAAGCTGGTGCTAACCATTTAGGTAAACTACTTTCAGAAGGTTGCGAGGATTGTTCAGCAATCATGGATAACATTTCTGAAAATATATTGAATGGTAAATGAGAGATTTTTCCTTGAATACTCGTTTCGTTTAGTAACAAAGCCAATAAACGTAATCGTGAGCTTAAAGCTTTTTTGCGTAGTTCTTCAGATTGTCCGCGAGCATGCTCAACACTTTTTATTACCAATTCAATAGTTTTCTCAACATTATCTTTGCTTAGAAGGACAAATAAATCTTTTACTTCAAAAATAACTTCTTCAACATGATCCAATAATTCAATAGCTCTATTAGCTGCATTTGCTTTTAGTTCTTCTCTAAGAGATTTAAATTGATCTACAGAAGCGACTTCTTTTCCTTTACCTTTGTCGCTTTTCTTTGAAGTAGTAGGTTCTGTTTCCATAGGAACAGTTGTCTCACTAGTGTTAGATTGTTCCGCAGTTTGACCATCTTGCATTGATAATGCCAACGCCTGAGCTAAAACATCTGCATGTTCCATATTACCTTCATCATTATCGGATATTTCTTCGTCGTCATCGCCAGAAACTCCAGTAATATCAAAATTTGAACCAGTGATGGTATTTGTTTCAGCTGGTGCATTACCAACAGTAGTAGCTGTATTGTTTGTTGAATCACGACCAGTTTCGACCGTTTGAGCTTCGGAAAATATTGTAGCTGCTATTGTGTGTGGATGAGTCAATAAATATTCTGCAGCCGTTTCGACATGATTATTACATCTTATAAGCGCTGTTTCTGCGTTAGAACGTTGGAATCCCATATCAATTAACTGCTGAACTCTGTCTTCATCTGGAATAAGACTTCTTCCAAACAATGAAGATGGAGCTGATAAATTACTAGATCCTTCTGGTCGTTGATTCACTTCTCCTTCAGCTTTTAAAATTTGAACTAAATTTTGTACAACAGATCTTAAAATATTTGGTGGAGCTTTCGTCAAATAAGAACTTAACCAAAGTTCATGAATTACAGGAAGGATTTTTGCTCGAACATTCACGAGAAATTCGAAGGGATCGAAACGAGGCTCACGATCTTTTGATGTTATGGAAGTTGTTTGAGCTGAATCGTGTAGAAATTTAGATGAAGCCACAAATTGAAAGAAATTAAGTGTAACTTCGATGCATCCGTGAATTCTTGTAAGTTTGTTTTTTGATTTGTCATCTGCTTCAATAGTCGAATACTCTTCAAAAGCTTTAATAGCCTCTGCTTCTTCCCAGAACTGTCGTAAGAGTGTGAATACACATTCCAACCCATCAGCTTTATCAACAAACGAGAGAACTAGCATTGTCTGAAGAGATATTTGATTTCGTTCTAAATATAACAATGCAAATCAAATATATGAACATTTTTAATAGCAAAATATTCATATAATTAAGAAAACAATAACCAACCATCAAGAAATAGTAATGATAGAAGTCCAAGCATGACGGTGAGGTAATTGTACTTATTTGTAGAATCAGTTTCGCTATCAAGGGCTAAAAAAAATTTCAATGGATATCAGTAAAAAAAAATTATATTTTAAAAAATCAAATAAGTAATAAATAAAATATTTACAATAACGAGACCAGGTTAAATGATCACGAAGGACCTCAGCAATAGAGTTGGATACTTTGAAAGCCAATGCTTTTTGGCTCGCATCTGGTTGTTTGCGTGTGAAAAGCATTTTGGCCAAACCTAAAATCACAAGATAATTTATAATATTGAATTTATTGAATATACCGTTTTCAACTTTATTTTACAACAACACATACCTTGAAATAATGGAGTCAAACAAGAAGGAATTTGAGACACCAAAAATTTAAAATATTTTGCGTTTTTTACTTGACGATTATTCTGGTCAACGGGAGGTTCATTTGCATCAGTTATATCTTTGTCACTTTCGTCCAATAATGCCGAAATCGCTGAAATTTCAGGAAGACTAAACGGTTTTTTTGGTTTTGATTGTGATGCATACCATGACTTTGGTACAGATGATTTTAAGATAACATTCTCCCAAACACACGTTCTAAACATAGAATTTTAATTTAACATTCGTTACAAATAGTAATAAATACTTTTGGTATAGAGAAAAGAAAAAACAAACCGATGCAATTTTCCTAGTGAAGGTATTACTTCGCTGTCGCTTCCAACGAAAGCTTCAATTACAGATGACGCATTTTTCCCGTGAGAGAAAACTGGTGTGCAATAGACATCAGAAAGTAGTCCAATATAACCGTGTAAAGTTATTAATGATCTGAAGGTTTTGTTGGCTTCTTCAACTTTAGCAGCATCGTTTGCTTTTTAATTTTATTTTAAAAAAATTAATCCAATCAGATTAAGAACGTTAAAAAGCTTTAACAAAAAAAAAAATTTATAAATACTTCTGAGATCAATGTAATCAGCGAGAAGACCACCCTTTCCGTCATGATTTAGGAAATTTGTTGCTCCTTGGAATGCTTCGTTAAGTGCACTAATAATTGCTGTAACGCTTCTCTTTGAATCAACAACAGCAATCACTCTCATTAAATGAGAGAGAGAATATGAGGCTTGCGAACTTGCAAAATCATATGGGACTGTTGGTAATGCGTAGAATTTAAGAATAATATTTAACCCGTTTTCTTGTCTGAGAAAATCTTTGCAATGGTTTGGAGTTTGGAAAAGACCTTCCAAAAACTATCATGAAAAAGGACATAAGCATTAGATTGCGTTACGAACATTATATTTATATAATATGAACATACCTTTGCAGCAATTTCAATAAACGAAACAATAATATTCTCTTTTTTCTCTTCAGGTTTAACAGAATCAACATCACTCATAGTAATATCGGTTGACTCAGATTCCACTCGTTTTTCTGGTTGAACGGGATCATCATCCGTCCCAGAATGTAATATATTAGTATCATCATTAACCATAGTGGAATCACTCCGTCCAAGTTCTAATATACGCTGAAGTGTAGTCATTATTGCATTCATGATATTTGGTTTCAAACTCGGATGATGTCTCATCAATTCATCAATATTTGTACCCAACACTGACGCAACGTCGCCATCTTGAAGAGAACGCAAATGTTCAGTTGATGTAAAAATTGAAAAAAATTTGTCTATCGGATTCATCTGAGTAAAAATTTCCATTCCTTGTGAATTCAAGCATATAGCACCGAATGCGTTAGGAATAGATTGAATTACCTGAATAAAATAAAACATTAACAATTAATATCATATATTATAAGATAAAAAATGAAAATGAAAATAATTATCTTAATATCTCACATCCACTGAAGCAGGAATTTCTTTTACGATAGACTTTAAAAAAGTTTGTGGAAGCTTAGCCTCTTGCATAATTGGAAGTGAAGTCGGTTCATTGTGAATAAAAGTTGCAATAATATTGATTGCTAGATAAATTTAAAAATAAATATTAAATATCTCAACATTATATATAAGATCGATTGATAAAAGATTTTACTGAAATCTACCAAGTGCAAATATACTGCTTCCGAATACTTTAGGTTGTTCAAAGACCTTTTTAATTGAATCTGGAAGAGATGTGTCGATGAGATTTCGCAATCCATCAGCAGTACCAGCTGATTGCATCATATGTAAAACAAATTTAAACATAGACTTCAATAAAGAAGATTTTTCATAAGGAAGAGTAATTTCGGTGATTGCAGGTTCAGTAACTACATTATTCGATTAATAATGCAATTAGTAAATATGATTTTATCAAATATTGAAAGGAAGAATAACAACTATAATGCTAAACCTGGTGGATTCGCTGTGGTTGAAGACCCTGCAATCGTTACATCTTCCATAAAGTCTCCATGATTGTCACCTAATAACTGGATACCAAAATCAACTTCTTCCTATAAAGAGGAATATTAGTGAGAAAATGTTATAAAAACTATCAACTAATATGAATTTAGATATCTAACATACATTTATCCTTTGTACCAATATACGAACTCCATTAGCGTTACAGAATGAGGTAAATGAAGGGTTGAATCCATACACAAGGCTGTCCAATATACTGACAACTTTTGTTATATTCTAAAATAAACACATTAAATTTAGAATACAATATGCAAGAAAATCCAAAGAACGCATATAAAGTTTACCTTAGATTGCTGTGGATTTTTATTGTTTAACAATTGTAACAAGGTCGGAACTATTCCTGCTGAAATCAACATAGTTCCACCGGTTTGTGAAGTGATAAAATAGGAAATTAAAGCAAATACCGCGTCATAATATTCTTGATTGAAAATAGCTAAAAACAAAAGAAATAAATAAATAAACCAATATTAATCAATATGTCTTTTTTAAAGATAACGGCTTAAAATTTTCAATTTGTCAATTTAAGATTACATACGATTTTCGCTATCCAGATCGGCAATTACTCTCCGCAACACGTAAAGCAAAATACCGTGATTAGCTGCCGCATTAATGGCGGATAATACTTCACCAAGTTTTGAACGATATCGACTGATTCCATCCAATGCATAAAATGCGACTGTTTGGATTTCCTAATAATAAAATCATAAAGATCAATCGATTGAAATCACCTAGAAACGAAAGAATAATCTAAAAAAACATATATTCATCAATCAATAAACTTACGATTGGTATATTTCTATCTGGATGAACAAACTCGGCAAGATTTGCAACGATATCAGGTTCGTATAAAAATAATTTGGATTGGGCAATATGTTCGGGGATGACATGAGCTAATTAAAACAAAAAGATAATTCGTTTATATTAAGATTTAATGGATAGAACATATTAAATTAATATCATACCCATAATAGCAATAGCAAGTGTTCTTATTATTAAGAATTTTCGTCGAGATTCGGTTGACGTAATACTGGTAACAATTCGAATTCGATTTAAAAGAGCATAGTGAAATTCTTCGGGAATATTATATTCTTCAATAACATTGTTTAAAATGTCCATATCAGTCTTTCCAAACTGATGGATGTTATTAATTGAAATCAAAGCAACACCTTCTCCAGCTTTAGCTCCGCCAAT